ATGTTGGTCCTGTACGAGACAGCACCCTGTCTATACTCCCACGGGTGATGTTGCCATCAACTCCAACACCCCTTATTAACCTCGCGTTTTGGATCTCTATGCTGAATTACTAAAATTTCATCAATGAGATGTTGATTCATTTCCTATAACTTTTTTCTTGTGACGTATTATCAGTTTGATTTTATACATCCCGTGCAAAAGCGTATACTTATTATCTATTTTTCTTATTATTTTTTACTATCAAATTTTAACCGTTGATTTCAGTCAATTTAACGGTTGTAATTTATGGAGTCATACTTATTAATTAATTAATTATTAATTTATAATAAATTATAATCGTTAAATTGACAGAAATCAATGATTAAGATCTAATAGCAAGAGATAATAAAGAAATAGGTAGTAAGTATAACAAAATTACAAATCATTTGTTTCGTTTCTCATGTGCTCAAACTGTCAACCAAGATTTATTTTTTGGCTTTAATATTTTTAATAAGTTATTTTAAAATAATATTATTTTGGATTGAAAGATTAAAAATTATAATAATAAAAAATATTATAACCTTGTAATAAATTATAACTATAAAATCATATTATTTTCACTCAAAATAATATCGTTTTGAACTTAATACAGATAACTTATCTGTATTCACCACAGAAAAAATGAACCATTATTTTATAATGCTTAAGTCTTTTTATTATCCTGATCAATTTGGAAATATGATACTCTTTATGCAAAAGTATAAATACTCCAGATTTATGCATATTATACGTAATAAAAAAGCATAATTACTATTTAAAAAGGAGTTTATTTTTTTTAACTTGTCTAATTGCGAACCAAAGTACCAAGCAGACATCCAGGTCAAAAGAAACAATTTTTTTTTAAACAAAAAAACAATAGTCGCCTATTTCTGACTAGTGGCCGGTGGGGTTAGCCCAGTGAAAGATAGAATTTCCAATTGGGCTAATCAGAATATTATGTTGGGCCATGTCCGACCCGGCAATAAATATATTTGTACAATCTCGGTTTGGTTAATGTAATTTGTGACAAAAGGACTGTGGATAGTATCAATCTGTCGACAAAAATGTTTTAGCTTTTAACATTTAAATTTGATATTCGCTTGTAGTTTTTTAATTTTATAAATAAGCTATATGTAAATATCATTATATAATTTTCACTGACAATTGTGACATATTTTAATCTTGAAATGAGATAATTTTCATTTCTTATACTTTCATTTTAAAAAATAAACTGATGAGATAAAATTATTAATTTTAACACCTATCATTATTATTATAATATCGTTATTATTTTGACATCTAAGGGATGATTGGTAGTTCTGGTTTTCATAAAGACTAGAGAGATTCCAGAAGAATTGTTGCGAGACAAGGAGGATTGCTTCGCATCAGCACGGTTTTCTGTTACGAAATATCAAACTAAATTCAAAGCTGGAAGTATTAAGTATGGGAGGTCCAACGAATTACCGAGCTATTTCGAGGCGTTCAAGCATGAATAATAACATCTTTCCCAAATTTATGCTGTACACTTTCCATTATATCAAGTAGAATAAGAAGTTTTTATAATGTATTCCATGATGAAGTTCAAGTAAATTAAAAATGTAGTTATGCTTTTATACACTATTGTAAAACCTAGTCCGACACGGCTGGGTTGACCCGGAACTCGGCAATTCAGTCATCGGACCGATTCAGTTGAAGTATTAGACCGGTTATGCATCGACCCGGACAAAATCGGTGACCCGATCGGGTCATGCATTTTTTTTTAAATCAAAATTGTTTTATCTTGTTAAACAAAATATAGAACTCATTTTTAAAATTTTTTTTAATTTTATTTACTTGTATACTTTTTTACAATGACCTCAATTTTCAGCTTCCAATACTAAAGCAATTTAGGAAACAATAAATTAAGAAAATGTGACATATGTCATTTTAATATAGTTGAATTTGAAAAATATGAGTTCAATGTCATTGAGAGCATTGTTGTTAAAATATCGATTTAACACTACGATTTTATGTTTTTACGATTTTACGATTTTTTTTCATCAAAACGATTTTACTAATATTCCAAACGCTTTTACGTTTTTATGATTTTTTTACATTATGATTTTACGTTTTACAAATTTTTAATCCCTTTTCGATTTTACTTAATATTTCGATTTTAACAACAATGATTGAGAGATATGTTTATGGGGATCCTGAATTGTAATTTAAATTGACATAGTAATAACGTGCATTTTTATTTGTTTATGTTTCATATTTTTGAGCTTATTTAGTGAACCTTGTTTAATTCATTTTAGATATGGAGAATATAATTGGATTTATATGTTCATATTTATATATATGTTTATATATCTATATATATCCAGGTCAACCGATCCGACCAGTGACCCAGTACCCCATCCAAGTCGATGCTCTGTTCGAGTTTAATAACACTGATTTATATGTATAGTATATACATATAGGAGTAAATTAACAAATTAGTCCTTAAAACATGTCGCACTCGCAATTTAATCATTAATGTAGTATAATGACTTAGTTATTAAATTATAAATTTAATTTTGATTTATTATTATTTAAAAAAGTTAGACTTTCACAATAATTAAATCAAAAGTAACGTTTTGTTAACCTTATTGATCAGAACAAGTTTTTACAATTGGGCCGATCATATGATCTTTCTCTACACAAATGGCCTGGAATCGCCTTGGGTCAGAGCATCTTACAGTTGAGCAGCTTTAATCCATAGGTGTTTGATGTGCGTCTAGCATGTGATGCTTTCTAACGTAAAAGAAGCAAGGAATTAATCATAAATGTGTGAAAATAAGTCATAAATGCAAGAAATATAGATTATTCCTTCTCAATCGTACTCTCACTGAAGTTATGTGTTTTAATAGAGGGAAACGCCACAAAAGGGAGCAAAAGAGAGAAGTCAAAATTTCCCAGTTGGCGCACGATGCTCCAGAGGAAGCGCACGGTGCACAGTACTGGCGCACGGTGCGCGGGACCTGGCGTACGGTGCGCCATTTTATGCGATTCACTCCTGCATCCTGGCGCACAGTGCAGTGTAGGCGGCGCGCCAACTCGACGCACGTTGCGCGGGATGCGGCGCACGATGCTTAATACTGCAGTCCCTCTTCTGTTTTCCCAAGCACAGTGCGCGAGGCCTGGCGCAAAGTGCGTGGGCGATATATTTTTGACTCCAATCTGATGCGAATTACTCAGAAGGAGGCCCAATTGGAGAGCAAGTGAAATTAGGTTTTCCCAAAACCTAATAAAAGGATCAGAAACAAAGGGAGGAGACACTTTTTGACAACAAGGAAGAGAAAAACAACAAAGAGAGGGAAAATTCTTGGGAGCTTCTTGGAGTTTCAAGGATTCGATCGATCAAGACGGAAGATCTTCATATTCCTTTTCTCTTTTAGGTTCTTTATTTTATTTTATTTTATGATTATTTTGTCAGACATGAATATGTCTGGCTAGTTTTGTAATTGTGGCAAGGGTCACAACCCTTGATGTGAACCCATTGTGATTTGGTTAAATTTATATTCATTAATGTTAATTGAGTTTATTTTACCTTGTTCTTCATCTTATAATTCTTCTAGAACTTATCACTCTTTTAGGATTGCGAGGGTTAGGGTTTTCAATAGGAATATTAGAATTCTAATTCCTGACAAGAGGTAAGATAACTGTTCATGTATGCACTAGGGATAGGCTACATGAACCGCAAACGTGAAAGATTCGTTTTTTCGAAGGCTCAACTTAAAAAAGGATTTCTAAGGGATTAAGATTCTAATATGGTTGATAAGGTTAAGATCATTAAGGAATTAAGGCTTAACCAAGTAAATAAAATATAGTGAATCATTTGATCAATTGCATAATTAAATGTAAACGTTAATTCAAGTTACAAGGTGAGGATCATAAATGTGTTGGCGTCTCTTTATCGCAATATTTTCTCAAATACTTTCTCAACCTTTAATCTTTTGTTCTTTAATTCTAAAAGAACCTTGCATCATTTACATTTTCTTGAATTGTTTTCATTATTTCACAAACCACAATTTTTCTTAAATTATTTTGATCAATCCAACAAGAGAGGAATAGTTATAATAACTTTGGTGCCTCAATCCTCGTAGAGACGATACTCTACTCATCATTTTATTACTTGGTACGATCGATACACTTGCCGATTTTACACAATAGTCTTTAATGGAACGAGATGGGGGGTGTATCTGTATAATAACCCTCACATGTAGTGTTGGATTTAATTATGAAGTAATGATTTTAATCATGAAATTGAAGAATAATTATAAGGAAAGTAGAAGAAAAAGAAATAAAGTTACCTTTGGTGAAAAAGAGTTAAAATGACAGTTAAGGAGTAAAAATGCGGGTAAATAAAGTTACCCTAAAGTGAAAAGTAAAATTATAAATATTACCATAAAAATATTTTGGACTAGTGGTTGAAGTTAGAATGAGAGTTAAGTTAGCGAGATAGATAAACTTATACCCACTTGGTTAGTGAGCTCACTTAAGTTCCTAAAACTTCTTATTATTCTTCATCTTCCGCGCACCATCATCGACAGAGAGGAGAAAAGGAGAAAATGGGTTTTTGATGGAAAATTTTCATTCTTTGATAACTTGAGCTAGGATTGATGAAATCAATCCATTCCAAAGCCTAAAGTGTGTCAAATTTCATCCTCTACAAAACCCATAGCTTAGTTTTAGTTGGGAGTCATTCTATTGAGAGATATCTCGTTTTCCCTATTTCGAAAATTTGAATAAATTTGGAGTTTTGGGGAGTTTTTGAGTGCATTGAAGCTTAGGCTTGATTCCTCTTGCATTCTAAGGTAATTCATGGTAAGTTTCCATCCTTTTTCACTCATTTCCATGAATTTTTATGAATCTTAGGTCACTAATGAATAATAATCCAAAAATAGGAATTTGAAGGAGATGTTGATATGTTATCTTGTTGCTTTCTTGATGTTTGTGGTATAGGATTGAGCAAGGAGACCCAATAGTTGAGGAGGACCCATTGGTGGCACTATTACAGTGAGAAACCTAAATTTTCTCTAAATTTTCAAAGAGGGTAAGTGATCAATTTCGAAAATTAAATAGTATGAGTAGTAGGAGGGTGATTTGTAGGTGAGTCCCTTTGTTAAATATGTTTGGGATTGGTTCCCGTAAAAGGGAAAATTATGAAATCGCCATTTAGGACACTTTGATAAATTGGACTAAAAGTCAAGTGTAGGCTTCTTGTATGTGTAGTCTTGAAAATTTAACGTGGTAGACTGGTATATAGGAATACTGATTGTCTTCACATATTGGAACTAGGTAGTGACTTTGTGAAAAATCGTGAATCTGTGGACACGAGAATTATTGGAGGACTTTGCTTGCGAGGTAAGCTTTCGGTCCTTGGGGTTAATCCCCCGTTTGTTCCACCAGACTCCGAGGGAGGATGGTACTTTTATATGGTATGTGGATATGACTTGCTATATGTTGCATGTATATGTATGTATGTTTGTGTGCCACACAAGACGATGTTTCCTTGTGTGAAGCATAAGATGGTGTTTCCTTATGCATAGTATGAGACGGTATTTCCTCATACGGTATGTTGCAAGACGGTATTTCCTTGCGTAATGCATACTTGTTATATTCTCTGGCCAGTAAGATTATATTATTGCACACTGCATTGTCATACATATTCTGATGCATGCATGAATTTTTATACTGTGTTTATACCAGAAGTGAGCTTAGGGGTGGAGGAGCCCTCCAAGGGTCCCTAGCTTACTGAGGTAATTATATTATCTCACCCCGCGTTATGGGAATTACCATTTCAGGTACAGGAGCTGATGGTACTGAGGTATCGTGTGGCAAGAGGCCAGATGAGAGATACTACTTGACATGAATGTCAGGGTCTTACGGAGATTTAGATTTGTACCTGACATACTTTATTTTAGGAGATGTCTATGCCATGTCGATAGTCTGTATATGTTGTTAGTTATGCATGCTTAGGTCTATGTTACTTATTTAATTGCATCCCTTTTGTTTATTTGATGTAATTATATAAGTAACATCATGGACATTATTTTGAGACAGTATGATTATGAGATAGCCTAGGCCATGGATGGCTGGGCAATATGTTTTATCTATGCTGTGATATGCCTGAGTTATATTAAACTGTCAATCAGGTTGAAATTATCATAGTGGGAATTATCCCCAGAGGTCCAAAATACAGAGGAAATGATGTTCGTTTTATTTTGGCCATGGAAGTAAAAAGGTTTTCAATACATAAGGAAAAAGAGAAAAAAATTTATTCAATTAGCTTCCGCATTAATTAAGTTGAGCATGCTGCGCTTACTATCATATGAATGTTAATTAACCGGCTGCAAACGGGCGTTACAATCTGCAAGACACTTCGACGCTCAAGTCAGTTATGGTTCAAGCATGTTTCATTATGTAGAAGAAGATGTGTATCTTTGTGTTAATAGGTATGTATTTATAGTGAAGAGATGAGCTGCTTGGGAGATGTCTTGGTGATCAGGTTTGCTTTGTCTTGGAGCCAAAGTAATATGGCTGTCATGTTTAAAGGTTGAGGAGCTTGCTGAGATAGCCTTTAATATTGTGCAGCTTGGAGAGATGGGCTTTGCAACCTTCTTTGCTATGAGCTTTCTTAATAGTAAAAACTTTTAGTTTGGGCGTTGTATTTTGATAATATATATCCAGATCACTTATGACAATATATAATTAAATAATAATGTTAATTAGATCAAAATTAAACTCTGCAAAGATTCAAACTTACTTTGTGTTTATGTTTATAAAATATTTGATATAATTTAACATTTTTTTAAGTATTTCAGAGATTAACTGTACACATAATTTTAAATCAGGGATTAAATCATTGGTAAAGTACATTTTGAAGAACTAGCTAAAACATTATTTTACTTCATTTTTAAGCATGCAAATATTTTTTTTAAACATTTGTTTTACTTATACTTCCCCTTCGATCTTTATTATCTTTATCTCTTCTTTCACTTTTAAAAAGTTATTATTTTTTTCGTTGAAACATTTTTGTAATTTTTTTTTGTTCTTTTTACCCCTTTAAAGGATTCAATGAAACCCTCGTAGAAAAATAGTGAAAAATAGAACGATATTTAAAATTTCTCTAGTGTCACAATTATTAAAATAAAAATAAATTAAAAATATTAATAAAGTATTCATGCAATGTACTTTTGGTTTCCGTTACTTGATTTAGATCGGTCCAACATTACTTTTCCCACAGCTTGAGATATCAGTCAGTTCTCTCAAATGGTGGCTTCTCAAGCACATGATTCAACTCATAATGGATTCTTTCAATTTAATCAGTAATCACAAATTTGAGTTATATAATTGTGTTAAAAATTTAGTAAGAAAATTTTTGCCACTCATATAATGGCCTCCGTTTTGTTATTTTCCTTTACTTAAGAGACATCTAACATTTTAATCTCATAAATGAACGGCTTAATTAGATGGGAACAAAACAAAAGCCCTTCACTCGATCCAGTTTATTTTCCTATTTTCATTTTGTTATTATTTTATACTTGGTTGCTCCTAAAAGAACATGGAAAGACCCTTTTTTTCTACCTTAGGCGCCGTATCCATATATCCAACACATAAAATTAATATTTTCTAGAAAGAAAAATGCACATCCAAGTATCTAAGAAATTAACATAAACATGTTAAAATTATTGAGAGGGGATAATATGTGTTTGAAAAATTACTTTCGTAATATTCATAGTACTATAAAATACATATCAAAAATTGAATCACGCAATAACACAAAGTTAAAGCGTACCGTACTAAAATATATGAATGCATCAAGAGAATTTTTTTTTTTTTTTGGAGTTACCCAACCCTAATTACCTCTTTGAGGCGAGTTGGCTCCCTCCGGTATCCCCACAAGCTTTGACTCTTTGAGCCGGCTATGAGATTAATCCGGAGTGCGGGGGTCAGTGATGGCTAAAGGTTCAGCCCCCTCCCCAAGAATGCATTCAGCGGGAATCGAACACATGTCCAACCCCACTAACTCAGTGCCAAAGAACTAACTGAGCTGTACCCATTGGGTCATCAAGAGAAAATTTAAACTAGTATCAGACACTGTGACTTTAAGACAATATTGCCTCGTGTCCAAAATTCGTGAATAAATAAAATAAATTACCTCTATTATTATGCGGCACTTTTCCATTGAATAGCTCATCCAACTCAATTTATGTTTGACCAATTACATTAAAGTAGAAAAATACAAATGCAAATGTAATGAAAAAAAACTCATTTAATTCTAATTCTCTATTTATTTATAAAAATGTAAGGTCATGATTAAAAGTTATATATTCGACGATGAGACAATATATTCGTTCAACACAAAAACACATGTCATTTAGACGATTTAAAAAACACACATTTTTTCATGTCAAATTTCTATTCATAAACATAATTAATTCCAACAAAAACATGTAACAAATGAGAACGTTATTTGAAACTAGTACTCATACAATTCACAATCATTCTGGCCCCTGTGGTAGGGTCCATGCTCCCCCACCCTATGGGCCTTTTCCCTAATACTCGAACAAGATCTCTCTTTCTCTCTCTCGCTCTCGCTCTCTCTCCTATTTTGGGTTCTTCTCTTTTGACTTGGACTTTCTCTCACACGCAAGAATCTGCACTTACAGCAACAATAATAGTAGCATACCCTCTCCCTCTCTCTCACTCTCGCCTCTTACTCTTCAAAGTTCAAACTCTTTTGTCCTGTCCTGTTGCTAACGTGCGCATTCCCACCTCGGCGATGAGCGTACTGCGCCACAACCGCCGCCGCAAACATCACCTTCGCCATCACTACCATTGGTTACCAACCTTGATCACCACCTTCACTTTGCTCTTGTTCTCTTCCGCTTCAGCCATAACTACTCTCGCACCACAACCCAGTAAGTGCACGCACGAAAATATATAAATAACTAAACCAACCTTTGTGAACTCACCCTAACAACACATGACTCAATTCTCATTATGCTTTTTTTTATATTTTTTTTTCAGGTGGTGGAGCAGTGAAGCACCCTCACAGGGAAGAGAAAGAAAATGGGTTACCGGCGGAGCCGTTGGACAGAGGTGTGGCTGATCAGAAGAGGTTCGGCGGACCAGGGTCGTCGCCGCCATCGTGCAGATCCAAGTGCGGTTGGTGCAGTCCTTGTCAACCGGTTCACGTTCCGGTCAAACCGGGTTTGATCATACGCCTTGAATACTACCCTGAAGCGTGGCGTTGCAAGTGTGGGAACAAGCTTTTTATGCCTTGAAAATATGTAAAAATCCTAGTACAAAAAAAAAAAAAAAAAAAAAAACGCAAACGTTGCCTGAACCGAACAGGAAAACATTGCAGGCAGGCATCTTAAATTTTTCCCCTTTTGGGGTTTTTTTTGTTTTTTGTCTCTCAGTGGTTAGTGCCTATATCATGCATTGATTAATGTTGCTGAGGTTGGGTAGCTGAACCTGAAGGTGCTTCTCATGAGTACTATGTTTATAGTATTGATTTTTGGGTTAACCTTTTGAGGGAAGGGAACGTTGGGAATGTAAGATGTCAAGATGTGACTATCGAGATCAGAATTTATATCTTAAACCCTTCTCTTCTCTGCTTTTAATGCACACTACTACTACTCTCTTAGGTGCCCCTTCTCTATTCTATATGATGATTTCTCTTTCCTTTTTTTTTTTTGGTTTATGTTTGTGCCAGCTTGCATTGTCCCTCTTTATATTATTATTATAAGTTGTAATTATGATGAGGTTCTCTTCAGAAAACAGAGAATCGCCATCTTCTTCTTCTTCTATGTTTCCATGTGTAATGTTGAAATGAAAGCTTTAATAGAGGTCTCTCGCATGGAGGAAATAGTGAAGAAGCATCTTTGAATGGGGAATATGGTGAAACTGTGTTGGGCTTGGTTTAATTTTTTAATCTGTTCGTTGCACTTGTACTAGTGGGTTGAAGTTTATGCTACCTCACTGTTACACGCGCGCTATTTAGGTATCTCACTTGTATTCTTAATTTTTCTTTGTTTGGATTTTTGTACTGTTGGGTTTTACTATTATGACGCGGATATATGATCTGTCTCACCGCTCTCACTGTTTCCTTCTTCGCTAAGACCTTTCTCTATACAGTAGATTAGGTATTTGCTTCTTTTTTCTTCTGCTCAACTCTGTGAATGTTTATATAGGACATTGATTACCCCTCCCCTTTCGTTCTCCATTAAATGTGCAAATTCCAATTAGAGATGTTTTCTTTTCATCCTCTGCTGAAAGCAACGTTTAGTGATTATTATTATGTGGTAAGAAGTTAAGGTAAATAAATTATCAAAAGAAACACGGATAGAGCTTTTGTTTTTTGTTTCGTAATTGCCTAGTTTTTGTTTTTTCGCTGGTATAACTTGTCACTTTTCCTATGTTCTCCTTAACTAGTTTAAATTCTATTCATTTCCATACCACGGGTATCTTAAAATTTAACCTAAAGAAATTTCTCATTTTCTCTCTTATTTTCAAAGTGTAGTCCAATTTATATTTCCAACAAGAATGAATATTTAAAACGTAACCCTATTCTTAATTCTTCTATAATCTATATACAGAATTAGTTGGTGTTTTCTTTTCTTTATTTACTCATTGCTTATTAGAATTAATAATTGGAACCTTATACTTATTGTAATAACTCATTTGTCCCCTAAATCTCAGTCCCATGATTAATAATGAGATTTGATTTCAAGATTTTCAATTATGGTAAGAGATTTAATTTTATCAATAGAATTATTTCTTTTTTTAGCCTTGCTTTCTTTTTCTCTTTAGGGTCCATATGCATGACCTCATAGAATTAGAAAGTAGAAACATGATCAAACAGTGAACCTTGGCCCCCATATATTGAAAATTGTGTACACATGAAAACGCCATGCATCTTCTTCCATGGTATGAAACGAAGCTTTGCATAATCAGGGTGACATGTAGATTAATCATGTACATTAATCATCACTCTCTCTTTCTCCTCTTGTTTCCTTTTCAGAGTAAATTGAACTTCATGTCTCTTTTGAATGAAACAAATTAAAGCCTTGATTAAGATGTGTATGGTTTTCATTTTCCTTAAGAAGGAGGAAAAGAAAATAATGGGCCATGAACCAATAAGGATAAATATTATTGGAGTTGGTGACATGTGAGTGACGACTCATATCACTGGTGAAGTGCTCCAATTCCAAAATTGCAGTACACACACGAGGGGGTGAAAGCTCCTTTCTCTGCAATTGGGGTTGAACAGATATATACAGTTGCTTTGGCTAGCTACCCTGGTGTCAGTGTTGCTTGTATCAAATGGGGTAAAAGTAAAAAACTGGCAAAAGAAAGCCCCCATTCACAAACACCCGCAACAAGTCACCACTAAGGCACCCTAACAGGTCCCATACCCACAAAGTTAGCTGCTCTATGAAACCCCTTTCAGTATTTAGTGTTTACCACTCCCAAATTAGTAATGTCCTACTAGTATAATCATTCACAGGTACACAAGTACATAGATTTATTTTTCTTTATCTCTTTACATAAAGGCAATTATATTTATGATGTTACTGAAAAAAGAGTTGTTGTCCAACAGATACATATTTATCAGGATATAATTTTGGATCCTGATATTTTTTTTTAAAATACCTTTTTTGTGTTGACTGTTACAAAATTTTATTTTATGTAATAATTGCAAAAAAAAAATGAACCTTTACATAAATCATATTAATTAACATATATAATATAAAGTAGAGTTATATTTATAAAAAAATTTATTTATAAATTCTTACAAATTATACAATAATATACTACAGATAATATATATTACTTGAATATATGTTATCCGTAATATATAATAGTTACTACAGATAATATATATTACAAATTTTAGTTACCGAAAATAAGTTATCTTCCGTAAATTTAATATGATGTCGTTTTGAGACGGAAATCATGGTATTTTTGTAATTTTAATTTATTTCAAGGTTATTATAATTTTTATAACTATAATTTTTTAATTTTTTAATTTTTCAATCTCAATACAATATCATTTTAAAAGTAAATGCAAGTAACTTATCTGTATTAATTACATAAATATTTTTCTAAATTTATAAATATATCTTATCCCTGTAACATATATGGTATATAACACTTTATTTAAAAAGAAAAAAATAGCTGGAACAAATACACAGAAATGTACAGCACCAGAACCCTGCTTTTTCACGAGGCCTGCCAGTGTTGTTGTTTTTTTCTTCTCTCACACTTATAATATGTCATAGTCCACAGAAAAACATGTATATAATAGTTTTCTTTTCAGGGTTTTGACAAGACAGATTCCTAATGGGATGAGGAATGGGTGAACCGGTGGCACTCTAAGATGACATTTTCAAAATCCAAATGTCTAGTCAGGAAGCCCATTTCATCACACATGACAGCACCCCACCTTCAACAAAGTTTGGTTAAGTTTCTGAAAAAGAGGGAGGGTGATGTACATATATAATTATAATTAATGTTAAGAACTGTTGTATGATTTGACAGTGTTGTTGGGGTTGCCGGTGAAGTCCGAAAGTAAGCTAAGCCTTCATCACTTTGCCTCAGGACACTCAGATCTTTATTCCCATCCATCAAAAACTTTCTTTCAAATCTTGCTTCTTATTCCATCATCACCATCAGCTTCTGAGTTTTGACTAAGAAATTGTGGTGAGATTGAGCATACTTATTTGATATGAAATTTCCATCTCAATGCATTTTTGGTTTAAAAGAGATAGTACTAGTGTTTTTTTCTTTTCTTTTTTTTCATTGAGTAAATAATATTTTTGATCTTCAGCAAATTTTACGATGACCGTTTTAGTCCCTAGCAAATAAAAAGGTTATTCGTGGTCGCTAAGAAATTCAAAGTGAATCCGTTTTAGTCTTTTAAGGGACTAATATGGATTTTTCTTAAATTTGTGAGGAATCACGATTTCAATTAAATGGATCCATTTTAAATTTCTTAGGAACCACAACTAGCTTTTTTATTTACTAGTGACTAAAGCGGATATCATAAAATTTATTGAGGACCAAAAAGAGTATTTATTCTTTTCCATTTTTAGAAGTATTGGACCCCAAGAAAGATAAAATTGTTAGACATCAATGTCAGGAAACATAACATTGCAAAGGAAGCAAGTCTGAAAAAAAAAGCAAAAGGATAATAAAAAACATTATAAAGGAATCATGGCTCTAAATTATTGAATCGAAAATAGAAGCATATTTTACCCTAAAATGATGTTTTAGCGGTGCCTGGTAAGAGTATTCATCAATCGATCCAAACTAATTCAAGTGACCAAATCGAAAAATCGAATAAATCGAAAATCGAAAAATAAAAAAAAGTCACAAATTTTAATTGGATTGGATCGGTTTTTGGAGGGTTGATGAAAACCGATCCAATCCAAATCGATCTAATATATTAATTCCCCTCTCTACCTACTTGGGTCTTTCCATAATCATAGCCTAAAAATTTCTAAACCCGAGACCCATTAACCCATCAACTAAATCTAAAAAAAAAAATTAGTCATATTTCATCAACAAAATTTTATCTTTGTAGAGCTTCATATCTCATTGCCAAAAAAAAACTATATTTTAGATTACTAATGCTTTTGTATTTCAAAAATAAATAAATTACAAAGCCAATATATACAAAAGATGTTATTTGCGCAATAATCATGAAACAAATTTTAGGATTTTCAAAAAATTGAAAACCGATCCAATCCAAACAGAAAAAAATTAGATTGGATCGGATCGGATTTGAAAAAAAAATTCAAACCGAATGGATGATTATATTATCAAACCGAAGGGATTGAATCGAATGATTTTTTCTTCCAAAATCGATCTAATCCAGATCGCGAACACCCTTAGTACCTGGACCCATAAAATGAAATTATTTGTTTCATCAACTCAACTTCGTATCATGTAGATGGAGGCTTCTAGAGTTTTAACTTAACTCCCACAAAGGCGTTATGAAAGTCTCCATGTATATAATCCAGGCTACATAGATGGGTGTAAAGTGTAAACTAAAAAGGCACAATATTTCCTAATTAATTATGTCGAGGTCGCGTAGAGCATACAAGTTACAACAATAAAAAAACGTGTTATACGATCCCATACATGTAACCACAGCTTAAATGTTTAGGTATATATGATCTGCCATTATATAGGGTTTAAACTTTAAAAAACATTTATCTGTTTTCATTGTATATGATGTGTATTCAAATTCAGTCAGAAATATAAAGCTATAAAG